AGCACGAATAATTCCGAGCTGTCAGATGACGAGAGCATTTAAAGGAAAAGATGTAAAACGAGGATTGTGGAGTAAGTGACCACATGAGCCACACAACCAAAGTTTCACTAGTTGATCCCAGAAGTTTTTCATGCTGTTAGGGACCACCGAACGTGTCTGGTAATACTGGCAAATGCGGCTGTGTTGTGCACTTTCGAGTCCGCGCACACCCCCATCCCCCCGCATCACGCCATCACGAATCGTCTGCCCTGTAAGTGTCTGGGGAGCGTTTGCGCTGGAGCCGGGTATGGTTCTCCGCACCGTTTCGAGAGCCAGTGGGGTGAGGCCGTCTGAGGAGTCATCCCAGCATTTACTGCCAGGGGCCAAGTGCCAACCCGACCACCCAAAACTGAGCGGGAGGGATGAGCCCACGCGAGGCACACGCCCGCCCCGCCCGGCCCTGCATTAGCCTGGACCATGGCACATGCCCTGTGCGCTGACATCTCTGGGAGGCAGCGGCGTGTGTGTCCCGTGCCGTGTGGCACCATGAACGCAGCTGCCTGAGGCCTGGTCTGCTTTGCCTCTGGTACCTGAAGTGTGTCGGGGCCACCTGAGCCGCCCTGGGCTGACACCCTGAGCTGGACGTGGCTCGGGCAGCCTGGGAGTCGGGTGAGAGCCCGGCCGACCCCCTCAGCTCCAGCCCCGCAGCGTGTTCTGTGAGCTGGTGAACGTTGCCGAAGAACTTTCCTGTAGCCTGATAGCTCTCGTCTGATAAAGGGCCAGAATCTGGTTTCTTGTTGGCTCAGATGCCTGAGCGGGACTGTGAAACCAGTTTTCTCCAGAATTACCAGTTTCTCAGTAACTTCAGCGTTTAACCATGAAGTCACTGTGAGTTCTAAAATTTAGAATGATTAGAAAGAAAACTGAGCAGTCCAGCCGTGCCTTCGCATGAATCATAACTGAAGCCTTAGCTGGCTTAGTGGCTGTGGCATGGCGGCCACCGTGTTTCCTCAGTCCCATGACAATGGTCATTTCCATGAGGAACACGACAGTGGTGGTTTCTCCTCCAGCCCTCCCACCCCGGGCACCCCAGAAAGCTGCGCGCCGCATCTCTCAGTGTCCTCGCAGCCCATGCTGGCCCTGAAGCCTCCCCGCCCATCCGACTGTTCTGGAGTCGCGCGGGCCGTGGCAGAGGGCGTGGCCCAGCTCATCAGCCCCATCCACATCTCCTCCCACCCGCACAGGGACCCGTGTCAGCGTGCCGGTGACCACAGGACTGCAGCACTTTCCAGCTGCCACCAGCAGCTGCCCGCCCAGAGCCCCACACTAGCTCAGCCCCCGCACCCGCCGAGACGCAGCCCACGCTGCCGCCAGGTGTGGTGGAGCATTTTCCTGATGAGAAACTGGCACACCTGGCCTAACGAAGATTTTTTTCTTTTTCCTTTTCCCTGACCTATGAATTTAAATGCCTTTAAGAAGTACACACACGAAATTACTTTCATTAAAATATTAACATTACGTGGGATGTGGACTGAACTGGTGCGTGTGGGTCCGTGGCCTGAGCTGACCGGAGTTTCACTGCCATCCCTCTCACTAGTTTGTGTTTCAGAGAGGTTTTGGGATAACATTTCCTCATCCACACTATTGAAACGTGTGTCTCATCTGTCACCTTTCAGCCTCGTGTGGTTTTTTCTGGCTCTGGTCGCAGGGAGCTGCCGCTCTGGAGGGCGGGACACCATAGACACACCCTTCGGTGGTGAACGGAGACTCGTAGATCTGTTTTATTTGGAATTACACACTTACAGTGAGAGCTTTATATTTGAGGAAAAACAGGAGAACATGCAAACGACACTAGATCTTGGTCTTTAAGTTGACATTTTGTTTAAAATTTTAAGATTACAATTTGTGAGATTCAGTTTGAAGGACGGTACTTCATAGAGTTGAACTTGTTTAGATATGGGTCTGTTTTATAACCAAAAGAGATGAAGTCTGGCAGGTTGAATTGTTTTAAACGAAGCTTTCCATGATGTCACCCCCCGTGTTTTGTGCGACAGACGTGGGCCTTGGACTCGCCGGCCAGCAGGGCCTGGCCTCTGCACACGTTTCGTGGTCAGACACTGCCACTTAACTCTCCAGCAGGAAGCATTTTGGTAAATTGTGGATGACATTCACTTTCTTTCCAGTATTTCGTAGATTTTCTTCACGGAACACGAAGGACCTTTTTTGCATATGAGGTACAGGTAAAAGAAAAAAATGGTTTTTCATCATTTTGTGTAGAAACTCACTTTTTCACACCTGTAGCCTAACTTCTCAGGTACCACGTGGAGATTTATAGCACATCTTATCTGTCTTCATTTCTTCGTGCTGTCACTTTGTCCCTGCATCTAATCCCAGCTTGTCACCCTGTCATTCCCCTGTCCCTGGAGGTGTCTGGGTTTATCATGCCTTCCCAGAAGAGTGGGCTCCGCAGGGGCTGTACCCTCAGAAGAGGAAAACCTCCTTCACGCCTCACACTGTGAACACTGCTTGTGTTGGCAGCCTAAGATCTGTTCCACCTCAGGACCATGTCCGTGTCCTCCGGAAGCCTCGGACCCCTGCTGAGAGGTGGCCTCACCGGCTGGAGGAGCAGGGTGCCCAGGCAGGTGCCCCTCCGATCCCGGTGCTGGTTCTGATGCCTTCTCTGTGAGCCGCTGCTTCCTGCTGTGCTGCCGTGGTCCCATGGACACGCCTGGCCTGGGGTTGGGGACCCCACACACCTTCCTGAAATCCTGCCACCCCCACGCCGCACACGGCAGCTCCTGCTGCCCACGCTGGGGCGAGATTGACCCGGCGGCCCGCACTGCTCGAGCTTGTGCTGCTCGTCACGCGTCAACCCCAGCTCCCGGGTGCTCAGCCAGCAGCCGAGCAGGATCCCTCCAGCTTCCTCCCTGGTGGCCGCCCGGTGGGAGGAGCCTCGGCCCCAGATGGGCTCGCAGGACCGTGGTGGCCAGCAGGTGCGGGGGCCCAGCTGTGGTCTGTGGGTCCACACGCCCAGTGTGGCCTGGCGTCTGAGGGGTGGAGTCGCCCAAGAACGCCACGCTGTTGGCCAAGATGGGAGATTCAGGCAAGAGGCCGCCCCCTCAGGCCTGCGAGCTGCGATGAGGGTCGGTTGCCAGATGGCTCTGCCCAGCAGGCCACTGGGGACCTGGGGTGAGGCTTGCGGGGACTCAGGGTCTGAGGGGCTCAGGCTCTTGTGGGGAAACCCAGAGGGCGCAAGAGCGATTCCCTCACACGGGTTTCTGCACCTGCCGGAGGATAAGGCGTTTCCGTATCTCAGGTGCGGGAGGGGAGAGGTAGCTGCTATAGCTGCCCCGTAAAAGCAGCCACAGTTCAGCTCCTGCGACTCAACCTGGAAAAGGGCGTGCGTGTGGTGGGTGCTGAGGTCTTGGAGGGTCACACAGCCAGATGCTTCTCTGGTGGTGTTTTATTTGCTGCTATGTCATGTTCAGTCAGCCCCCATTCCCGTGTGTCCCGAGAGGGCAGCTGCAGCTCACCCGGCTCAGAGTCCATGGGAGGCTCAAGCGGCTTGAGGGAGGAGTGACCGTCTTCGCCAGGCTCAGGCTTTGGCGCTTGCGCCGTGGTTTCCACTCCGGGGTCGGCACTCTCCACAACACTGTAACGGCAGCGTTGTCTTTTGTGGGTGCGTGGCCTGTGCACCTGCGGGTGAGAGCAACTGAGGCAGGTCGCTGGCGTCTCCGAGGGCCAGGCGCACGTCGGCCACAAATCACAGACAGGTCCTTACGCCCGAAAGGACAAATGCCACCAGGCCTTGACCGCTGTGGTGGGAAGAGCGTTCCACTCGCTGAAGGAACTTGAGTCCCTCCTGAAGGACAATTCAGGAAACTGCCCGAGGCCCCGAGTGCCCCAGGAGCTTTTGGGAAGTGTGTGAGACAGACTGAAAAATCATGAATGAAAATTTTCTTAACGTCAAAGAAGCTGCCACGAGTGGATGGGGAGTCCGAGAACGCGCAGGGAACAGAGATGGGATCTTTGGCACTGGACAGCCAGACTGGTGCCGGTGAGGCTAACGCACCTCAGCTCTGCAGAGCATCGGATGGCACTTCGCGCGTGGAGGAGCAGGTGCTGCGGGACACGGATGTGAAGGCCGTGTGCTTTCACGGGTCCCTTCAGTGGACGGTCTCCAGGCTGGGGACAGCGGCCGGTGGGGAGGAAACAGCGAGCCCTGTCTGATAGAACCCACAACTTCATCTGTTCTGCAGTAACCATGTGTCACTGCCCTTCCCTCCCAGATGCTGCAACTGTACGTGCATTTCTGGAAATAGTTAACACCATCCACTTACCCTTTGGACATGCAGCTCCCTGTTCATTCCTAGGAAGTTTTTCCCTCTCATTTTCCTCTTATTTGTAGGTTGTTCCCCTCCAGGGACATCTGTTTGAAGCTCATTGACTAGAGACTATTTCTCCCATCTTATTCCCAGTAACTTCAATGGAAACACTGGGTAGTAATTTAAATCCCAGTAATTCTCCTTTCATGATAATGTCAGAAATGGAATTCCAGGGGAACCACCTGCCAGGGCCGTCAGTGACAGGTGGACTAACCCACACTGAAAGGGCAGAGATGGCAGATTCAGGGAAGGATTTGGGGCAACCCCCTCTGGGTGACCTCTGATAAGAATAACCTCTCTAGGGTCAGTCCTCAGCTTCAGGAGACCGTGTTCTTTTATGGGCAGCTTCATCTGACTGCGTCATTATCACAACCTACTTTAGGTAAAATACGATTACGACTAGTCTTTTACTGAATTTGGACCCCTCAGCAGCACTGATAAGCTGACATGGCTATGCCACGTAACATCTGAGATCGCTAATGGCTGACAGGAGAAGGGTGTGCAGACATAGCAGGGTCAGAGGTGAGCTCGGCCAATTATTTCTTCTAAATTTTAGCCCTGCAGTTACTGGAATAGAAAACTGAGATCTATTGATTCACAATATCAAATCTGACATTTTTCTTAACCTTTTATTAGGTTCAGGGAGCAAGTTTCCGAGGGTGGAAAGAAGTGACTTCTCTGTTCAATAAAGACGACCAGCAGCGGCTCCTGGAAAGACGCGAGTCTCCCAAGTCCAAAGGGTGAGTCCGGTTGTGGCAGGGAAGGAAGCGACCACTTCGGGGATTATGAATTGCTGAGGAGGGTGGAGTGGAGATCTCGTTTCTCGTTTAAGGAAATAAGGAAAAGCACTGTCAGAATCGGTAGGTAAACTGTAAAAGATTTTAGAAAATAAATAGATTTAAACTGACATCAGAATAGTTTAAAAAGTACATTTAAAGTTGAAAATATGAATTCGGTGACTACCTAATGGTGTCACCAGTGGCTTATTTGCTCAGTGGTGTGAAGAGTCGCTGGATTAGAAGGTGGCGCTTGATGAGCCTACGAGGATGGATTTGCTTTTGTTTGAGGACCGCAGGGCCCGTCCGCTATCTGCACTTCCTTGCCTGGCCCACGCCAGGACTTTCCTTGAGTTCTCCATCTGTAGGGGACAGTGTCAGTGGAGCCCCGGTTGTCAGGTGACCTGCTGCTACGCCAGCGTCTGCACCGGGTGGGCTCTGAGATGCTCCCAGGCACGGCCCGCGGCGGCTGGGGCAGAGGGCACTGACCTGCCGCCCTTTGTCCCTCAGCTCCACCTCGGCCTCCTGTTCCTTTCTGTGGCACACGGTGCTCTGGGCTCTTACTTTTACTGAGCAAATTACCTGCTAAATTCCTGAGATGAGCTTGCTATATGAATAACCCTGTTGAAAACCTGTTTAATACATGGAACAGTTTTCCCTTCTTACTTCTTAACCCAGACCCTGGATTTTCCTGTGTGTGTTCTGCTCGGCCGGTCAGCACTTGCCTCGTGAGACCCCGACAAGCTCTTTTGTGACAACACCTGTGTCTCTTGTCTGAGAATCAGCTCTTGGTTATGGATTGCCAAGGGGTGTCCTATATTAGGGTTTTTACGTGCTTCGTTTACATGTAGTGACTAGGTTTTCCTTGTTAATATTTGAAACCTTACACATAGATTTTTGTTAGATTTCCCAACAACTTAAAATTTTTTTTAGAAAGAACTTTATAAAATCGACACAACTTGAGGCCTTAAGGTCAGGGGCTCACCAACACTTCACTCTTTCATCTCCTATAGAACAAACATACGATTAAAGGAAGAATTGAAGACAGAGAAGAAATCTGGATTTTGGGACAATTTGGTTTTAAAACAGAACATACAGTCTAAGAAACCAGATGAGATTGAAGGTTGGGAGCCTCCAAAACTTGCTCTTGAAGACATGTCGGCTGACTTGGAGGACGCCTCGGGCGGCCCCTCGTCTCGGCCGGGCTGGGAGGAGGGCGCCAAGGGCTCGGCCAAGTACACCAGCCTGGCTGACGCGGCCGCCAGCTCCCGGTGGAGCCTCCGGTCAGCCGGCAGGCTGGTGAGCATCCGCCGGCAGAGCAGAGGGCGGCTGACGGACAGCCGGGAGGAGGCAGAGTGATCGGGCGACAGCCGCTGCTGCGTTGCGGTTTCTTAGTATCATGCAGTCAGTTGTTGAGTCCTTCCCGTGCTAGGAAGCGTAGGTCACCTGCTTCTTGCTTGTGTCTCACGTTCCTGTTTTCGCCGACTGGCGAGCTCATGCCCACACTGTGATTCTCTGGTCCCCTCGCGGTGGGAACATCCACTGTCCACCCGCCACGGGCACATTCTGCAGAAAGTGGGTGTGGATTTTTGATGCTGTCCTACAGGACAACATGAAACTGTTTTCACACCACCCTCAGCTGCAGTTCTCTGTTTCAGAGCCTGTCTGCCTTTCTCTTGCATGTAGTACCATGTAGCCATCCCTTGTGTCACGCACCATCCATGTCACCGCACACGAGGATGTGTCAGTTGTGCAATCCTTTTCTTTTGCCAGAGAATTACAGTCAAGGAGGTAAGATGGATCTTCCAAAGGTTATGTTAAATTTTGGTTAACCTGGGAAATTAAACTTTTTGTATTAGATTTAGAAATATCTAAACAAATAGTGGAATGGCAAAGGTTATATTTGAGCATAAAATGTCAGTATCTTAAAATGCATGTTTGTCTCTTGCTGAGGCAGGAGTAGCCTTTTGCGTGCACATTGGACGGTAACAGTGGCTCTTTTGGGGGATTTTATTTTTGCTTCTCCTGAACTTTTAAATATTTATCTTTATTTTCTTAAAAAAATTTACTTTTTGTTTACAGATTAGCGAAGTGTGGATAATTTTTTGTCACTTGATAATCTTGTTTGGAAAACATTAACTCGCTCATTATAGAGTTAAAATTGTACATAAAATACTAAGTGCCTCTTTTCTATTGTCCCCATGTGTTTGGTTTTTCAAGTGAGAAATCACTCATTGTGATTGATGTGAAATCTGCAGGAAGTTGTGCTTCCCCCACAGGAGTAACTTAAACCAGTAATTTGAGAGCATCTCCCATTCCTTTTCTGTCTGCTCTGCCTCTCGTCCTCGCCAGCGTGAGCCTACATGGTGTCGGGGGTACCAGTCACGTGTCCCCTGGCAGAGTGGCTTGTATCAGCGGGTGGTGTGAGATCTTAGCTTAGGCAAAAGTGGTTTGAAAGAAAAGATACATTTTTCTTTGTTTTGGTTAAAAACAAAGCAAAAACCTCCAGTTACACAGTGCATTCCCGTCATGTTAAAAACACACACCCCCCCCAAAACCCGATGCTTGCGTTGTTCTGTGTGTACTCCCGTGCTATTCTGTGCACGTGGACGGTCCACTTGACACTCCTGCGGGATGACAGCACGCTGCAGGGCACCAGCCTGTCTGTGTGTAACAGGACAAGTTCACCTGACCCACCTATGTCCCACCTGTGCATCCGATCTGTCTACACCCATGTCCATCCTCCTGCGCGGCTGTCAACCGTCTGCGTCCGTCTGCCGTGTCTGTGTGCATCCGTCCATCCATCTCTTTTTAACAGAGCAGGTTTACTTGTTGAGCCTTGAAAGGGGGACATGCTTTCAGTAGTGACTTCAGTTTGTATTAGAACCTTGACCTTGTGGAGGTTTTCTTTGTTTCACGATGCAGAGGAAAATTTGTAATTCTTAGCGTAATAGCGAAATCGAAGATTCCTCAGTTTCCTCAGGTCAACAGCTGGGTGTGTGGACTGTGACTCCCAAACTCATCTCCCTGAACACGTGCCTGCGGGTGGCACGGACGCGCACCACGCCGAGACTTATGCAAATGTTTGGCCACAGGAGTCAGGCCAGGCTTGTCTCCAGCTGATGCTGCCCTGTTGCGCAGGAACAGAAATACTGCGTGAGACGCATGGGATGGGGAGCACTGTGGCTGTGGCTCTGTCGGGATGCTAAGTGCCTGCCACTCACCTCAGCCGTGCAACTGTGATGCACGGTTAGCAAATGGTTCTTTATGCTGCTGTTCTCGAACTTTGAAGACAAAGCCAGATCGGGATTGGAATATGCACTGTAAATCAAATTTTTCTTACCTACAAAGACGAATGTAAAAATTAGTTTTTTCTTCTATTATATCTGATTGAATTAAAATAACTACATTTGTGGTTTTTAATGTAAATATTTATTGGTGTGCTTTGGGAGAAAAGTATCTTTTCCTGAAAGAACTTATTAGCAAAGCAAATTTGCCCTCTTCACAAGTGAACGGGGTTGGGTTGTGTAAACCACAGCTTCCCTGTGTGGTGAGAGTGGTCTGTGCTCTTCCTACTGCGTTTCATTATTTAACAGGAAAGCGATTGGCTTCAGAGAAGGTAAGGTTCCTTCTTAACACTGAGATTTTTTTTTTTTTTTTTTTTTGAGAGAGAGTCTCACTCTTTTGCAACACTGAGATTTTTAAGAGAGTAAAAATACTGTTCTAACCTTTCATTATTGGTTTGCACAACTGCTGGCATCTGCTCACAATGGCTTTAGTCACTTAGAGCTGATGGCACTTTTCCTGACCTTTTAAACCTCATTTTAAAATGCAATTAATACATGTACTTTTTCTCAAATAAATGAACAGTTTCATCCTGTGTTTTCGAGATGTATTTTTTGGGTAACTGCACTGCGCACTGCACCATCCGTGAGTGCCTGAGCACCCGGGCTGGGAGGCCGCAGCGCGGCCCGCGCCTGTCTACTCTGGTCCCTCTGTCTTCATCTCACGAGTTGGGTCCCTGTGCGTGTCTTACCCCTTGGTGTCCAGCTGAGACACATGAAAGCACTAGTGTAGAGCATCTTACTGTATCATTTCTATTTTACAAAGAGGACCGTCACTTAGAAACAGGTCTTTCTGGAAAGGAGTGGCCTGTTCTGGGAGGATGTTAACTTCCCTCAGGAGCTGGACGCCAGCCGTGGTGCCCACGTCGTGTGGTTCCTAAGTGCAGACGTGGCGGGAGGTGGCGTGGAGCTGGGTCCCCCTGGGCAGTGGTTGCTGCTCCTGGCTGCTCCTCAGGGCCGCGCCGACGAGTTGGGCGCTCTCGGACCTCCCACCACCTCCCGCTGGCCTGGGGACCCCTCTCACCTGCCCACAGCTCTGACCCACCTCACCTTCCTCTCTCTGTCCCACACGGACCCTGGGACCCTATCTCCGGTCACCCGTGGGCCTGGCTGTCATCATAGGCAAGGGAACTGCGTCTGTCCTCTCTCCCCCAAATGACTTTTAGCGAATTATTCGTTTTCTGCTCTTCGTGTTGATTATTTAATTGATGGTTGAACAACCGAAGGCCAGTGCTATTTAGTCAGCTTTGAAGAGAGAAACTGGCCAGGACAGTTTTCCCAACTCTGAGAACGCTGTTTAAAATCACGCTCACAGTGGTCCCCAGGTGGCTGAAAGGTGGACGACCACCTGAGCGCTCGCTGCTGCGGTTTCTTTCCTTTTTGGTAGAAAAATGGTTTTAGCCCTATCGATGGGAGGCAGCAGCACACTCCGAACAGGCCTCACAGCTGAAATCCGCGCTGAGGAGACGGCGGCCCTGGAATGATCCCTCTGGAATGACGTGTTGCTTCGTGTACAAGTGTCTCTGGCTGGCGTGACCTGCGACGTGAGCACACGTGGGCAGGTCTGAGCTGCAGTGGTGAGTGAGTCTCCGCCCAGCCCGCTGTTCTGTAATCCCAAAATTGTTGCTTATAATCGTGGATTTGAGCCCTGGCAATGAGCGCTAAATCAGATTAGATCAGGTTTAAGCGATGGGGCATGTTCCGGCTCCTCAAACCCTACGGGGCTGCCACAGGCTTCCCAGGCCGCGCCTCCTCGCACGGCAGTCGCAGCCCTCGACCCACCTGTTGTAAGGAGAAGCTGTGCCGTTACCTGAGAGCCTCGACAGCCTGCTGCACAGGAAGAATCAGGGTGCAATGGCTTATTTCAGTTAATTGCAGGACAGCAACAAACTCGCTTTGTCAGTAGTTGTGAAGTGCCCAGTTTCTGCTGAGACGACCTTTCAGTGTGTAGACAAGTTTGAGCTGTGGTGCAGTCAACAGCGGAGACAGCGTTCTGCAGCGCGCTTCCCACGAGGCCCTGGCCTGCAACGCCAGCCCGCAAGGGCCCCCACGGCCGACCCTCAGCCGTTTTTGTTTACAAAGTGGGTTATTCTCAGGGGGCTCTGCACATAAGACAGTGAGGCTGGAAGGCTGCCGGTGCCGCTGCAAGATACCGAACACTTCCGGGTTTTCCTCATCTTAAGTTAGTGCTGAACACCCACAGCCAACGGCTCTCGCTGGTGTGGGTGGCCCCGGCTTTGCCTTGGAATCAAGGTTCCCTCGCTTGGTCTGTCCTAAGGGGACAAGAATGTCCGCACTGCCGGGAAGACAGGACCACAGGTCTTCGTGGAGGGGTAGACAGCGACGTTCTAGCGGTTTGGCCTGTGAGCAGCCTGGCTCTGCCCCGTCTCCCGCCACCCTGCGCCCACTGAGGGCTCCACTGAGCCCTGTCCTGGGTGCCCTGAGCTGCTGGGCTGTGGCCTGGGCTCTGCGAGTTCCCATGGTGGGAGGCTCATCCTGTCCTAGGGGTCAATGTAACATTCCTTGTGCAGAGGGGCCTCCGCAGGGCCCGGGGCTCACAGATGGTTTTGTAACAGCTTGTTCCCTCCTCTCCATGGCTGTGTGTTCTAACAGTGCTTTTTGCTGCGTATCTGCTTCCTTGCTAGACTGATGCTCCAAGAGGGCAGGGTCGCCACGTCCTGGGAGCGTGCCACATGGAGGGCCTCGCGTGGACACGTGGCCAAGAATGTGCTCCAAGATGACAGGGATGTTCGCTGGGGTCACCAGAGCAGAGTCCAACAACTAGCCAGGTGACAGCTGGTGTCTGTAGTCTCTGCCCAACCACATGTCTCCCCATCCCCTTCCGAGGCTGTGGAGCCCACGCCCGGCGTGAGGCCTGGGCCAGACTCACACCACGTGGCTTTTTACGGTTTCTCCTAAGAGAGCAGGGAGGACAGCCCGTCCCACCTCCTGGGCCTGCTGCAGAACCTGGGCTCTGGATCCCGAGGGATCCCGACGCCTTAGCCTTGCCACTAAGAGTGCCTAAGGTGGCACGTGAGTGCCGGCAGGCCCTGCGCGTCGAGCCCTGCCCCCAAACACTGAGCTAATCCCAGAGTTATCTGTAATAACAGCATCATTTTCAGATCTAACTTTCCAACGTCCAGCAGGACTAAACACACTGACGACAGCCCCACGTCACTCCTCTGCGTGTTAACCACAAGCGAGGAAGACGTGAGTCCTTCGACCTCTGCTGTTCCTGCCACTTGACCCTGAGTCAGTGTAGGACCCGTCTTTAAATGGTTACTTTTCACAACAGGCTGCAGCTGCACGTGGAGCCTCGGTCGCCAGGCCACGCGTGGGAGCGGACGGTGAGGGGGGCGAGGCCCTGAAAGCTAGAGCAAAGATCCGTTTTCTGATGGGGAGACGGTGTTAACAGCAGCTGCCTTTTTTACAGTGTTTTTTCCTGACTTCTCCCTTTGCGCTGCGGAGCAGAGGGCCAACGGGAAAGCGCCAGCGGCACCTGCAGCCTCCCCCTCCCCCCGGCCCCTCCAGCATTGCTGTTCAACTTTCCTTCTCGTTCTGCGCACGTGGCCAGCCGTGGTCCTAGGCAGTGTCCTCTGGGGAGCAGCCACTGCGCAGCCTGGCGACGGCCTCGTCCTCTATGCTCCAGCGGGGAGGAGCTGACGAGAGCTTTGTTCGTGAGGACTTGGGAAAAATGAAGTCGTCGCGATGTCTGGGGCATCTCACGTGGTCAGTGTCTCCTCTGGTCTAACTGCAGCCTGTGCGCCCCGAATCTTTGCGCACTGCCATGCCCCAGGGGAAGGCCGTGGCTTCCCAGAGAGCAGACCTACTTTAAATTTAGGCAATGACTCGGCAAAATGAAGGGCTGGGGGGAGTGGGGGAGATAAACAAAATCAGTCTGCTTCCTCGCAGGAAGCAAACCATTTTGATTAAATTAATACATTTCAGTTCCCTGGGGTGGAACTCCAGCTGGAACAGCCGGCTCTATTTGAGGATTCAAATAGATTCCTGCAAAAACAGCTGAAAAACAAAAACAGAAGTTAGCAAAACAAAACAAAAACATTAAGCACTTGTTACTTAAGTAAAACCATGTAAAAATAACTTGATATTTAAACAAAATGACAAATGACGTGGCTTAAACAGGCTGTGGTGTTTGTGTTCCTCGGAAGGAAGCTCTGGAGGAGTCGGGACACGCAGTGCCTCTGCTGTGTGCGGGTCGCCAGGGCCCCGCTGTCCTCGTCACCTGGTGAGAGAACAGATGGCTGGAGCTTGAAGCAGCGATGCCTGCTCTGTGGTCCTGTCCTGCTGGTTCCCAAGGGAGGCACCGATGACGTCCACCTGCGCCCGCGCCCCTATGAGGCTGGTATTGCTGTGCCCATTTTATGGATGATCACAGCGAGGTCAGTGGAGCCAGTTTATTGGAACGTGCTGCAGGTGTAATGACATCAGACGGTGAGTTGAAATCGGAGGCGCGCTGACGTAGAGGACAAACGGGGTCCCCTTCACTTAGCCGCTGGGGCGTTTCCAAAGAACAATGCACTACCGTGTGTTAACAGAAAAAAAGCCAAACTCTGTAAAGTAATTTTAAAGAGATTTACTCTGAGCCAAATTTGAGGACCATGACCCGGAGCCACAACCAAGAAAACTTGAGCAGTGGACTTGCTGTGGCTGAGTCACAGTTTGGTTTTATACATTTCGGGGAGACGGGTTACAGGTAAATTCATAAATCAATATGTGGGCAGCTACATTGGTTTGGTCCAAAAAGGTGGGATGTCTGGAAGGGGGGAGGCTTACAGGATACAGGTGGGTTTAAAGATGCTTTGGCTTGTAATTAGTTAAAGACTTGAAGCTTTGTCTAAAGGCTTGGAATGTTTCAATATAAGGAGCTGTTAATCAGAGATACGGCACTGGACAAAGATTTGTTGTGTAAATTGAGGACCTGCAGGTTTATCTTGATACCCTTAGGCCTGCTAATGGGTTACAAAGGATGTCCCCAAGAAGGGTAGGGGCATGATGAGACATGTCTGACCTCCCTCCTCCTAGCAGGCAATTTAGTTTTAGGATATTCCCTTGGCCAAGAGGGAGTCCATTCAGTCAGCCGATGGTGGGTGAGCCTTAAGATTTCATTTTAGTTCACACCAGAGGCAGAGAATTGTCACGTAGACAACCAGGGACAACTCTGCTCACTCACAGCAAACTGGAAGCAGAGTCCACGTCCTGCGAGGGTCTGGGGAGGAGAGAGGCAGTGTGTGCACTCCCCTGTGCAGCCCGAGCCATGATGGGAGCTCTGGGGCTCAGCTCTGGGGGGACGGCCTGTGACCCTGGCATTCCCCAGGGTTGGCCCCCACCTGATGGCTAGAGTTTGGATTCCTCCAGCATGTTTTGAAACCACTGGGCCCTGGTGGGGGTGTCATTCCATGTTGGCTGTGGCGTGTCCCCACATCCCCGTGTTGGTATGAGCGTCTCTCTGGCAGGTCCTGCTCTGGGCTTGGCTGACCAGAGCTGTGCTGTCCTATGCCATCCACTGGTGTCCCCGCCACCTGGCCCCCCAGACACAACAGAGCCATCAGTCGCTGGCACGTCCTCACTCGGCCCTCTTGGTGCCGAGGTCAGGCCTGGGGTTCCCCTTGGCTGGGGCTTGGTGCCGGCTGTGTGACTGTCCTCAGCCTGCAGGCCTCGTCCCGGCTCCGTGCACAGCCCCCCGACCTGCCAACCAGTGCCAGGAGCCAGAGGGGAGGTCTCCCCCACTCCAGACTCAGGCTCCTTCTGGAAGTGTCTTTATTCCTTCCAGACCTTGGCCCAGGGTGGCAGACAGTGGGCAGACGTGCGTCCTACGGGCCATGGTCCCCAGGGTTGGAGGTCCCAGGTGACGCCGAGGGCCAGGTGGGAGGGACCCCTGCACCTCCAGGAAGGAGCGTCTGGGCAGAAACGAGGGCTGAGCAAGAGGTTCTAGAAACAGAAAAGGAGAGTTGTGCTCGGCATTTCCTGCCTCTCTCCCCGCAGGCCTTTCCTGTGATTCTGAGAATGCCCTTCCCGCTTATGTTAGAAAGGGGCAGGGTTGGTCTGTGCCTCTGGAACCCCAGTTCTTGCATTTCCCATGATTGTTGTTGCGTGTGGGTGCCGTCTATACTGCAGTGCACTGAGTGTTTGCTTACTCAATTCACTTAAAAAATTACAGAGGAGGGTGGGGGGTGAGGACAGGATGGGGAGGAGGCCACCGGCCCTTCAAGGAGGGGCCGGAGACCCCAGGGCAGCTGGGGGCGGGGTTGTCCTTACACCTTCGGCCCTCCTTGAGCCAGGGCATTTGTGGACCCCTCTTGCCACCCAGCCACACTGACCCCTGCCTGCCCTGCTGGGTGCCCGGGTGCTTCACACCCAACACCGTGTCGCCTCCTGTTCATTTGTTCACTCTCCTCCTCTTTACCTGCTTGCCGGTTTCTACCTTGTGGCTGTAAACTCTGCTTCTGGGGCTGCCTGTGTGTGGACATGACAGATGCCCGAGTGTAGGCTGGGTGAGGGAAGGCACTGGGCCAGTTTAAAAATCATGCGGACCTGGGTCTAGACCCTGCTTCTGAGGCCTAGAGAAGACCAGCACCCTCCTGTCACATGGAGAGCCGAGCCAGCGGCATGTCTACTGCTCTGTTCCAGGCATGGCAGTTCCTGGCGTGGCACAGCTCCCCAAGTAGGCGGGTCTCCCCCAGCCTTCCCTGGGGGCCAGGCCGGCCCTGTAGAGCTCTGTCCTGTTGGCAGATGTCCTCATCAATCAGACACAGGTACAGCTTTGTTCTCTACGTGGCATGTGTGTTTGACGGAAGGACAACATCTTGTAATCAGGGAGGCGGGATCCACTCTCTGGCCTGGACAGAACTAGTGGCTTTGAGAGTTCTGGAACACACTTCTATGGCGACAACATACCTTTAGGAATGTGGCCTATGCCTTAGTATGTAAAATGAGTGAAAAGTTATAGTAATATGTTAATTAGGTGACACCCTAAATTGGCCAGTCTTATGCAGATGTTTAAAAAAAAAAAGCTTGTGCCTGGAATTTACTTTTTAACTCTACCAGCTGCCCAGGGTCGTGGGTGCCTTCACCCAGGCTGCTCCAGAGTCTGACTTTATCCTGAGGCCCAGGATGGTGGCTGGGGGAGGATGTCTTTTTGGCATCTGTTGTTAGAAGCTGCAGGCTGAGCTGTCAGAGCTGAACTTAAACACAGGTGTTTTCCCAGACCTTTTCCTGAGATTGTGTCTGCCCACTTCTCCAGCTCCCAGAATGTGATATCCGTTTTGTCTAGGAGGAGCACATCCTGAATGAAAGAGTTATTCTAATTTTAATAGCAGGAAATGCTAAACTCAGAGGTGAACAAGAAAGTCCATCTCCCAGCAGAGCCGGATGCATCTAAGGAATGTTTGACAATTGCAACGGTGACTTCCCCCTTGGGGGCTCTGGGCCAGGACAGCAGGCAGAGGCGGGGTGGAGGCTCTGGGTCACAGCTTAGCGTTTTACCCCCTGAAGCATGTCCCAGCCCTGAGCCCTGTAGGGTCAGCAGATGATGAAAGAGGAACGAACTACACTTAAACCTGTAAATGGTGATTAATTCTCATAATCCATCTGGCATATTTCATTCTGGCTTATTCTGAGGGAGAAACAAGTATTTTTAAAAATCTTTTATTATGAAAAAATCTATGTAACAGTGGCAAGAACAGTACAATGGACACCCAGAAACTCGGTTGTGGAGACTGAACAACTGCTGGTCTGTCCTGTTTCGTGTGGGCGCGGCCACGTTCAGCGAGCCACTCAGAAGTACCGTACAAACCCCACAGTCGTCCCCGGGCGCCCCAGCACGCATTCCTGAGAAGCCACTCCCTGCATAAGTACGATGCCACAAGCACACCAACACGGTAATTCCCCACCTCATCTAATACCCATATTTATATAAATTTTCCCAATTGTCTGGAAAATGTCTTTTGGCTGCTTTTGTTTTTTCCCCCCAAACAGGACCCAGGCAAGGACCATGCACAGCTGTTCTGTCTCCCAAGTCCTGTGACTCTGGAAACGGAACCCCCTGCACCCTCCCCACCTTTGTCCTGAACACTCTCGTTTTTCATGATGTTTAACTGTTCTTCCCTCTCTGCGTTCCCTGTGAAGGAGAAGTTAGATCTGAAGGCTGTCACATCTTTGTGGCAGGGACACCTCTTGGGGGCCCACGTGTGCTTCCCAGGGCCGCAGGTCAGGAGCTGATCGTCCTGGGCGTCCACCATCAGTGACGCTGGAATGAGGCTCAGGTGGTGATGACTCCACCTTTAACCTGGTGGTCTTTATTCCTCACGTGTCTCTCCCAGCTGCATTGTCTCCACGGCTGTCCCGCGTTCTCCCCCAGGCCAGGAGCGCAGTCCTCTGTCCTGGACAGGTGCCTGCTGCACACCCTCTGGGTCGATCCCCTCTGGCAGCTCCAGAAGAGAAGTCACAGCCAAAACGCAGGTGAGACCATGTCATTCCCCACAAAAGTGACTGGTTTCAGGGTAGGCACTCGTCAGAATGCTGCGGTGGAACCAGAGACACCCGACAGCCGGCTGCCACCTGTGCGGAGTCCACACTGCAGGGAATCCTGCCGGCTTGGGATCTGTGTCACAGTCGTCACCTGATTGTGGCTGGGGCTGAGGAGGAGGAAGGTGAGCTCCAGATGGAAGGGGCGTTGGCACGTTGCTCAGAGCACAGCCACAGAGCCCTCCTGCATTTCTTCACTGCTGAGACATGATGTTGTGACCTCTGGCTACAAAACCGTGTAAAAGTAAGTAATTCAGACTTAAAGCTGCTGGAATGTTGTTATCCTGAGCCCTCACAGCTAACTGCCCCCCCACGCCCCACAGAGGAGGAGAGTCGGCCTTGGAATGTGGCGATCCGCAAACTGCCGCAGCGAGTGCACTGGCCCCATACGGGGAGTGTCGTCCCCATTTGTGTGGGGTTGGCTATCCTCAACCTCATTGTTGAAGGTTGGAAGGGGGCAAAGTCCTGCCTGCCGTAACCTCAGAGGAGGCTGGTGCCAGCCAAGGGTGGCAGGTGCGATGCCTGCTGGTCCGTGAGGGAGACCAGGTCGGGCTCCGCATGGACGCCGGGTCCTCAGGGCCTGTCCGGGTTATGCACAGAAAAGCCAGGTGACTAAAAATGCCACTGAGTTTTTGAGGGAAAACATGGTAGTTTGGGGAGAAGCCCACCTGTGGCTTTCCGCAGCTGCTCTCCCGTCTGTGCGGAGCCCATTGGAAGAGCAGGGTTTCGGGAACAGATGTGGCCGTGAAGGGCGCTGTGCCCACCATGGCTCAGTAAAGTTGGGGCCCTTTTCTCTTGCCTTGACAAGGGCAGCAGGTGTTTCCTCCCAGGTGGGCCTCGGGGAAGTCGTGACTGCGAAGTGGGTGTCATCTTCATGAGGCATTTCACAAAGCGCCACGAGCAGGGTTGGGATGCTCCCTGACCACGCTCTGGGTATGGATCAGTACGTACCTCCTGCAGTTCCCTGGTGCCCCTCTACTACGTTTCTGGAAGCCGATATCAGTCTGCTGGTGACTCTGTCCTTGGTGACCATTTTCTCACCAGGGACTGCAAATGGTTTCCCCTCCCACAGGTATGTCCTATACCTAAAGCTGTCGATCTGGATGGATAAACCTCGATCTGGATGGATAAACCTAGATATTTAGAAATTAATGTCTCAGCATGGCTTTTCAAATAAGATATTTTCATTTAGTGATAAAGGTTGGATAGAATTTTACTTTTCAGAACAAGTGATATTGATCCTTTTGGCACTGTTTCTGTTTAACTAATTTTCTTACTAAGTGTTAAGAGTTTTACGAAAAAATTTATGTGATTTCTTAAATTACAGTTTATTTTCAAGAAAGCCGAACAAGTCTAGAGGTGATCAGAAATACCCTTTGCTGTGAGTTTTGTTTTTGAGATGTGATTTTTTTCCTTTAGAGACAAACCTCGTCTCCCTGGAGATGTTAGAACTGAGGCTGTAGGGCAGAAGACGGTGTCAAAAAATCTTGTTCTGTGAGACTCTTCAAAGCCCAACAGGCAGCGGCACAGAAGGAAACCAGCTTCCCGGGGGACGCAGAGCGGGGCGTTTCCCTCCAGCAGGGAGACACAACTTGGTGCTTGGGGTTTCTGGGGAGGGGAGTATTCTCTTTGGGAACATGTTACTTATCTTCAAAAAGCAATATAAGAGAAAGTAAAGTATTGGAAAGATATGTGAAGTAGAATTATGGGTAACATTTTAATTTTTGTGTTTGAGCTTTTTAAAAATACTTTCTACAATGAATATATATTACTTTTGTAATCAGAAAGCAGAGTAACAAGTACAAAAAGCTAATATTATGTAACTTTGTAAATGGAAAATGCCAATATATACAAAGGAAGAGGCAAAAGTGCAAATCAGGGTTGGCAAACTAGAGCCATGTGGCCCACCTGTTTCTGCATTTTTAAATGGAGAAAAAATATTAAAAAAGATGATTTCATGGCATTAAAAGTATATGAAATTCAAATTTGTGTCCATACAGTTTGGACGCAGCCACGCTCACGTCTGTACAGATGACCTGTGGCTACGGCAGAGCTGAGTGGTTGCAAGAGAGACCCTGTGGCTGGCAAAACCAAAAACATTCACCATCCGCCCTTTACATAAAAAATGGGCTTGCACCCCAGTGTAAACTCTTATGTGCACCTACCCTTCCAGCCTTAATAGTTACCAATCCTCGGCCGATCTTGACAGTCACCCTCAGCCCAATGGAATATGTTGAAGTAACTCCCAGACATCCTATAATTTTAAATAAAGTCAAATTCACCAAGAAGATACATATTATGCACCAAACACAGCTCTGCAGTAGCTGGCAGGGGCTTTAATGCCCCACTTTCAGTTGTGGATGGAAGACGCATCAGCTATGAGCCCCACACAGCTGGGCACAGAACTCTCCCAGCAACAGCAGCACACGTTTTTCTCAAGTGCAAATGGAACTTCTTGCAAAACAGACAATATGTTAAGGCCATGAAACAAGTCTTAATAAAAGATTGAAATTGCAACAAGTATTAGTGGGATGACACTAAAGATCAATAGGAAAAAAACCTAAAAGTACATAAGTATGTGTGTGAAAATTAACACTCTTCACCACTGGGTCAAAGAAGAAATCACAAGGGAATCAGACAGTATCCCCAAACACATGAAAACATAACATACAAAAAATTATGGGACACAGCAAAAGCAGTGGTAAGAGGGAAATTTATAGCTATAAATACATTTTAAAAAAGATCTCAAACAGCCTAAATGTACACCTCAAAGAACTAGAAAAAGAGCCAACAACCCAAAGCTAGCAGAAAAGAGGAAATGACAAAGATTAGAGCAGAGACAAAGTCTCAACTAAACGAAACCAAGAGTCTGAAAGATCAACAAAACTGACAAACTGTCGCTAGACTAAGAAAAAAAGGGAGAAGACCCAAATAACTAAAATCAGACGGAGAGGACATTACAACCAATTTTACAGAAACTAAAAGAATAGGAATACTATAAACAGTTTTGCGTAGGAAGATTGGGTAACCTAGACGAAGTGGACAAATTCCTAGAAACACAACATACGGAGACTGATCACGAAGAAATGGGAAATCTGAACAGACCGACCACGAGGAAGGAGACGGATGCAGTAACAAGACAGGGAAGCCCAGGGCCAGACGGCTTCACTGGAAAATGCTACCAAACATTTAAGGAAGAATTAAACCAATCTTCCTCAAACTCTCCCAAAAAACTGAAGAGAACACTTTCATATTCATTCTATGAGGCCAACATATTCTGACACCAAAACCAATGACACTACAAGAAAATAAAAGAAAACCACAAACCAGTATTCCTGATGAAGATTTTTGTATCAGTCGTCAACAAAACACTAGCAAATGGGATCCCCAACACACTGACATGGCCAAGTGAGACTGGTCCCCACGATGCGAGGATGGCTCAACCTGCATAAATCAGTGAGACAGAATGAAGGAAAAAATCATGTCATCATCTCAACTGACGCCAGAAAAAACCACTGGACAAAACCTCACACCCCTTCATGATAAAAACTGTCAACAAACTAGGAACAGAAGAAAACTCCCTCAACATAGTAGAGTCTATATGAAAGCCCATCATACTCCATGGAGAGAGAGGGAAAGCTTTTATCCTAAGATCAGGAATTACACAACAATCCCCACTCTCACCACTTCTATTTGACACAGTACCAGGAATCCTAGGCAAGAAAAA